GCATTTGAGATCTTTGAAGAATGTCTTGAAGAAAATGGGAGGGGAAATTTTGGGGTACAACACATATAATTGTTGATATTTGCACATGTATCCATGGTGGGGGCTTATGCCCTATTGGTGAAGAATCTGGTTCTATGGTGGGGATCAAGATTAGTGTGAACCAAATTGTTCATAACATTGGTGAAGACTTTGGTCCTATGGTGGGGATCAGGAGTAGTGTGAACTAAATTGTTCATAATTGGTACCACATGCATATTGCATAGAGTTCCATTGGAGTCACATGCATCGATGTGAAATGTATGTTTGACGTGCTTTATGTAATATTTGTGTGAATGGTACATTGGTGGTAATTGTGATTAATTATCTTTGAATCATGAATTGTTGAGCAATATTGTATAAGTGAATATATGAATTGTGTTGAGAATGTTGAATACATGATTATGTGAAGTGTGATGAATTCAATTGATGTATGCTTATTCTGTGTTACTTATTATTATATATTTCCATAATGACATGAATTCTCACCCTTCTGTTAGAATGATGTTTTATACGACATCGCTTAAGTACGGAAGATAGCGGTGCTTCTTGCAAGGATTAGTCAGTGGATCTAGTTCTTGTTTATCTGCTTATTTAGGTAGTGAGTCATGCTCTGGTCTATGTAACACGAGGAACGTTTGGATTCATGTTATGTTTATTATATTCATGTTTATTTGAGAGATATTGTTACACTCTCTGGATATTTACGTTGGATTGAGATGTATGTGATGATGGACTTTAGTGCCTAATATTTTAGAATATGATTGTCAGTATGGAATTTCAATCATTAATATTATTATTTTGAAGTGATAATTATTCTGCTGCGAGATGCATATGCGTTATTGTATGGAACATAATTCTAAATGTGTGTTATGAATATGACCAGTGTGTTTGTTTTCTTGAGTTTCGTGAAATAAATGTGACGCCCTCTTGAGATATGCATGATATTTACTCTGATTATGTCGTTTATTTTACGCGGGGTTTGGGGGTGTTACATTCAGTATCTACCCAAAATTGCAATTTTTTTAGAGAAAAAAACAATTCATGTAATCTCATGAACATTGATTCAATAAGGCATAAATACACTTGGAGATGACCAATTCACCATGGTGGAGCTAGTTTATGAGAAGTTGGATAAAGCTTTGTGTAATGATTCTTAGAGACTATATTTCTAGATGCTCAAGTTAAAGTGTTGTCTCAAATAAATTTTCTATATCACCACCTTATCCTCATCTCCTTAAAGGATGATGATTATATGATAGTTGAGAACCCGTTCAAATTCGAGTGTGCTTGGGTGTTGGAAGAGTCATATAAAGAAATGCTCTCGGATGCCTAGGATATAAATGATTACATTGCTTATAACTTAGGTAAAATCAAAAACCATGCTTCTAAGTGAAATATGCACATGGTGAGAAGCAATCAAAATAAAAAGCATCAATTAATGGGAAGAATAAATGGTATCCAAAGAGCTATTCAAAGTGGAAGAGGGCATGATGGATTAGGTAAGTTGTAAAGCAACTTTTAACATGTGCTACCTAGAATTCTCCATCAAGAGGAATTAATGTATTTTCAGAGATTCGAGATGAAGTGGTTGGCTGATGGAGACAACAATACTTGTTTTTATCATGCGAAAGTCATGCATAAAAGAAGAAGAAAGAGATTTAACATGGTCAATAGTTCTAATGGATAGTGGGCTGAAGATCTAGGTCATATTAAGAAGCTTTTTAAGGAGTGTTATTATAAACTTTATACTACAAATGTTGAGATTGAAGATTGACAACATACCAAAATAAGCTTCCAAACTCTAGAGACCAACATGGTGGACCAATTGAAAAAAACTTGAAGACAGAAGAAATTAAGAAGATTGTTTTTGAAATGGCTCATTGGAAATCTCCAGGTTCTGATGGATTTCATGCTGGATTCTACCAGAAATCTTGGAGCATAATAGGAATTAATGTTTTCCGTTTCTTCAAAAATATGGAATAACTCAACTAGTATAACAGAGGTAAATCATAATGACTTGTACTGGATTCCTAAAGTCCCAAATCCTCAGTATATGTACCAATTTAGGCCTATATCACTATGTAACTCCATATACAAAGTTCTAAGCAAAATCACGTTGAATAGGTCGAAAAGATCATATGTAATATTGTTACTCCCTACCAAACATGTTTCATCCTAGGTATGAGTATACAATAAAACATAATGGTTGCTCAAGAAATGATGCATAACATGAATAAGCTTAGAGGAAAAAAGGTTTCTTTGTAATTAGTTAATATAGAAAAATCCTATGACATGATACATTCAAAATTTTTGAACAATATGCTTGTAGAGACCGTAATACCTAGCATTCTTAGGAAAATTATCACAGACTCTATATCAACTATGAAGATGTCTATTGTGTGGAAGGGTCAGAAGGAAGAGTATTTTTACAAAAAAATGTCCTAAGTCGTCCCATACCTGTTTATGAAGATGTCTCCATACCTGTTTCTGCTTTGTATGGACAAGTCGTGCCATATGACAACTGATATAGTAAAGGAGGGTAAGTGGGAGTGTATGAAGGCAGGAAAAAGAATGCCTAATCTTTACCACCTTATGTTTGCTAATGATTTATTGTTATTTGATAGGAATTTGAAGACCAAATAAGGATTATAAAGTGTTTTAGACATATTTTGCTCAATTTCAGGCTAGAGGATAAGCTATGACAAATCTAACATCCTTTTTATTTCTTCCAAAAACACTACAAATCTCATTAGGAAGTTGGTCCTTCAAGTTTTAGGACTCAAAGAAACAAAGATTCTACGTTTGTATTTTGGGGTACCCCTCATAGGAAAAATCCCTAAGGTGGTAGACTATCAACATTTGGTTGAGCAGGTCAAAGTTAAACTCACAAATTGGAAAGGTAAGTAGTTGTCTATGACTGGGAAAGCTACCTTGTCCAAACCAGTGTTAGAAGCAACCCATACCTTCTATATGATGAACATCATGGTTCCAAAAGGCTGCTTGAAAGAGTTTCAGAAGGTTCAAAGGCAATTCATATGGGGAGATATGGAAGATGACAGACGTTTACATACTGCAAATTGAAAGTAAATTGCAAAATCTAAGAAGCAGGGTGGTCTAAGAATGAGAAATCTTAATGAAATGAATAAGGCCTGTATAGCTAAATTGGGATGGAAAATTAGAAATGTAATCAATACATTTTGGTGTGAGGTCCTAAGAAGAAAATATGAAAGACTCAACCCTTTAGTTAGAAATGTCGAAGCTAGAAATTATGATTCCAGTTTGTGGAAAAGTATAGTTACAATTTAGCCTTTAATATATAACATGGTGGTTTGTTCATTTGGAAGTGGTAGGAACATAAATGCTTGACACAATTGTTGGGTGACATTAGGAATATTGCTGAAGTATTTCATGAATAATACTAGGAATGAGCATGTTAATACTACAATAGCTGAGCTTACTAATGTCAATGTTGATTGGAATTGGAATAGACTTAATAGTCAGTTTGACCAGGAAATCATAGATAAGATTGCATCAGTTCAGCCTCCAATAAATGACGATGAAAAGGGCACTTATGTATGGGGGAATGCTACTTCCAATGGAGTCTTCACCATAACAAATACTTTTTCAATAATCACATATGCATAAAATACAAATTACAACGAGGATTGAGATAACATATGGAGAATTTAAGTTCCTAAAAGGATCAACATGTTCACATGGCTTATGTATCACAATGAGCTAAAAATAAAATAACTCATTTCTCAACGACATTTGTGAGCCCTTCTGCGTGGATTATATAAGAGTGAAAGAATCAATTATTCATGCACGAAAAGATTGCAAAACAATTCATCATATATGATTACTCTTAGTTAATAACTCTCATTGGGATATTTTTTTTAGTTTGAATTTGTAGAAATGGTTGAATTTCAATATGTATCAAAGCATCGACGAGGAGAGTATTGGAAACTGTCTGGGCATTTGGGCTACGACATGTAACTCGATTTAATATTGGAGAAATCAGAGCAAGTTTTTTTGCAAATTATGTCATGCCTCAAAATTTAGCTAATGACTTCCTGGTCGATGTCTATCAATAATACACGAGCTTGTTCCTTCAAAATAAAAATTGATATGAATAAGAAAGTAGCAAAGCAAGTGCAAAGGATTCCTCTTGAAGAAGGCTGGATAACTCTTAATACAAACATAACGGTACAATATGGTAATAAGGCAGGTTACATAGGTTTAATCAGAAACAACAATGGTATTTGGATATGGGGGTTTTTCAAAGGCGTTGGGGGAAGTGTACCCTTCTAATGGCAAAACTCTGGGGTTTATTGGAAGAGCTTAAATTGGTCGAGAACAAGGGACATAAGAAAGTGGAAATTTAGATTAATTCCAAGGAGATATACGATGCAATAACCAACAAGAATCATAAGTTGGGCATATAATCGACTCTTCTTCAACAAATTTAGATTGATTTAAGTTAAGATTTAGAAGCTCACATTATGTACGTGTATCGCGAAGCAAATACTTGTGCATATGCTCTTGCAAAATTAAGAGTCAGTCATGTGATACTTATGTAGCTAATATCCTGGACAACTTCTCCACAGAGACTCTAGCCCTCTCTAACTATATAATTATAAACTTATATATATAGATATATATATATATATATATATATATATATATATATATATATATATATATATATATATATATATATAGATATATATATATATATATATATATATATAGATATATATATATATATATATATATAGTTGAAATTTTATGAAATTTAAGTTAAAATCTAAAATCACGGAAAAGTGATAAAATTCACCCTCTCTCTCAGGTCGGCGACGATCCACGAAGGAGAAACAAACAAGGCTCCATAACACAAAACCCTAGAATTTCAAAATCCGCATGAACGTTCCTCCTCTCTCAACCCCAATTTCCAATCTTCAATGGGTCGACCAGAACAATGCGTCCTCTTCGCTCACACCTTCGTCCACTCACATCTCGATGAGTACGTCGACGAGGTATTTCCACTCATTCGATTCTCAATCTTTCATATTCCAAATTTACCGTCCGTTTCTTTCCCGAACTTGCATTATTTCTTTTCAATTTTCAATTTTCATATAGAAAGTTTGAACTGTGTTTCACTAAGTATATTGTTTTTTGCAGGTAATTTTTTCAGAACCGGTAGTAGTCAATGCGTGTGAGGTTTTGGAACAGAGTGCTTCATCAGTTGCCCAAGCAGTACCACTTGTTGGGTATTTTTCAACGCAAACTTTCCATTTATGAGTTTCTTAACATGTGCCCTTAGGGCACAAGTTAGCATTATGCTTCAAATTTATTTTATTTTGTATGTTGTTATAGAAATAGGTTATACATAAGTTTATAGGATAAGTGCTTATACTATAAACACTTAATTAAGTTGCTTATCCAAACAGTGTTATTATTTATGCAGAAGTCTTTATAAGCATACAGGTGTTTAGTCAAGTATTATTGAGAGAATATGTACTAAATTTGAAATGAAGAAGCTCGTTTCTATTGGACAGCTTCAAAGTCCCACATGGAAAGACATAGAGTGACACCCCTCACCTTACAAGTCAATTTTGTAAGGATGAGTTAGGCCAAACTCTAATATGGTATCAGAGCCTATTGATCGGACCTCGAGCAATCCACCGTTTAAATCCACGAACCAAACTCAAAAAGAATGCTGGGCGTGAGGGGGTGTATTGGAAAGATTCCAAGTGCCGTCTCTAAAGAGTTTATATAGTGACACCCTTCACCTTACAAGTCTGTTTTGTAAGGAGGACTTAGGCCAAATTCTAATAGTTTCAACTTTTAAAATAAGCAGTTAAAATCTCATTGATATCACAAGAATTTTTTTCATGTCTTTTTGTAGAGTAAATTGTCTAAATTGGTTAGTAGTGTAATTTGTGGATAATAGCTTGTGCTAGTTTTGGATGACCATATTAATTTTTGTAAGTAGAAAACCACTATATATTGATTTGGTGTTGCTCACGCATCAAACTATTCAAGAGATTTTTGTGTTTATGATTTGGTTTGTGTCTGTTGAAGATTTTGAAATCAATTCGTTTATTGCTTGAAACCTTTTCAGGGCAACATCACCTCCATCATTTGCCATAGAGGTGTTTGTTCATTGTGAGGGAGAGACGAGGTTTAGAAGACTTTGTCAGCCTTTTCTCTATTCACAATCTTCATCAAATGTATTGGAAGTGGAGGTATATTTGACATTTTTGACGGTGTTATAATAATGTGCATGCTATTAACAGTGTTTGGTTCCTTGTTCCTCTAACTGTCTGAGTATTCAATCACATTTTTATTTTTGTTAGACTTAGTCTCTGCTATATGTGTCTGCTATATGTGTTGTGCATTTCTTCTGTTTTGATTTTTCAGACGTGAAAAATATACTACTCCTTCGCTATATATAGGACCTCCTTGATCAAATTTCCGGAATTAATACAGTTAGCCTTATTAAACTTATTGACAATTGGTACTGTTTTAGAAGGTTACCCTTTCAAAATAGAGAAATAATTTGTTTTTATCAGTATTTATTGTAAGTTGCAGAAAAAGATGTAAGTTGCAGAAAAAGATGTAACATAATTAGCCGTATGTTGGTAAAGAAATAATTGATGCAGTTGAAAATATGAAATGGTTCTTATAATAAGTGACAGAAATCACTAGAGAGTCTTATATTTTAGGGATAGAGGTAGTTTATCACAAAAAGTAAAATTTACGTGTTAGACAAATTTTGAAGTCTTACTTTTTGTCATTTGATTAAAAATCCTAATGACTTCTGCCCAGTTTTCTTCATTACTGTCCATGATTATTATGTCCTCATCAGTTCACCTACACGTAATGGTGCTTTGAAGATTTCTTTGACCTGAATTGCACGAATATACTAAGTTTGGTGATTAAAATTAATGAAAAAAATGATCAAAATTTTGTATACATAAGGATGTCTTCTCTTGCTTATGATATATGTATGTACTTACTAATATAGTTGATTTGATAAACATTTTCATAGTGGATGACTTGTCGTGTGACTTGTTAGTAATTTGATCAAGCTTTCAACCTTATACTGTTAGAATTTTTCTATTAAAAATATTTAACTGTTGAAATTTCCGTTACTTGCTTACCTTTTTTAGGCTGTTGTCACTAGTCATCTAGTTGTGAGGGGCAGTTATCGCAGTTTGAGCTTGCTTATATATGGAAATACAGCTGAGGACTTGGGTCAGTTCAACATTGAGTTTGATGACAATGCGTTGACTGATCTTGTTGATTCTACTGAGGGGAAGCTTGAAGACCTGCCACTTGCATTGCATTCTACTAATTTTGCTTTTGAAGATTCACGTTCTTCTTTGAGTGTCTTGTCTATTCCAGTTCCTGTAGCAGATATTTCTCTTGAAGTCAAACTTTTTTTACAGTTAATGTTAAAGATTTTAGAATTATCAGAGATTGGTAATAATAGACATATTGGGGATGATGGACACAAAGTTGTAAGTACTGTAGTATCTGCAATCTCTTCCTACATTTCTGGTGATATATGTGAATCAATCAGTGGGAGATATCAGATAGGGAAGAGAACTGAGAAGTTTGAAGAGTTGCACAATGTTGTTAACAAGGCAAGAAAAGAGCTCACTGATGTCTATCGGGGTTTCAAGCAAAAAAATGAGATTGAATTCTCTGAATGTTCACCGGAGGGACATTATTTTGAATTGGAGACTGAAATATTGGATTCCAAAACACTGGTGGATATGTTTAATCAGATTAATCATTTCAGAAGGCACTCTTCATCTATAGGAGATCACTTTCTTTCTCGGGTAATCCATTGTTTTCTTCGTCCTTGTTGTACCAATATCTGACTGTTGGTTGAGAAAATTAGAGTCAAATTAATTCACTCCCTCTTATTTTTTATACGCTTGTCTTTTTTTGTTTGTCTTTTTGCCCGCTTATGTCTCCATATGCTTTACTGCAGAATGAGCATGCTCTTCTAGGATTGAGCATGGCTTATTTACTATGTTACGGTAGAGAGAGCTGTTTTCAGTTTGTTAATAGTGGGGGAATGCAGCAGATTGAAATGTTTTTTTCCAAGGATGGACAGAATTCCACTACTATTACGCTTCTGCTTCTTGGTGTTGTAGAGCGGGCTACTAGATATTCTGTTGGATGTGAAGGCTTTTTAGGTTGGTGGCCTCGGGAAGATGACAGCATCCCCTCTGGTTTTAGCGAAGGTTATAGCCATTTGTTGGAGTTGATACTGTCAAAACCTCGACATGATGTTGCCTCCCTTGCAACCTATTTGCTTCATCGCTTAAGATTTTATGAAGTTGCTTCAAGATATGAGGTATTGCTTTCAAAGAAGGCTCTTGATTTTAATGCTTATTTTCTTTAAAGAACTAAATCTTTATCTTGTGGTAATTAAATTTTTGCCAGTCTGCAGTTCTGTCTGTGCTGGGAAACACTAGTACTTTTGGCAGGGTAACAGATATTACTTTGAATATGCTAAGTTCTGCTGAAGTTCTGCTCAGAAAGCTCCTGGTCAGTTTTATGTCAATAAATTGTAACTTTTGTAGTACTTAAAATGATTTGCAAGCAAAATTTGATTTAATTTTTCCCGTTCAACATAGGTTGATCTGAGAATGTAGCTCCGAAATAAGTTTTTTCGTTTATGTTTGTTGATGAGTACTAATGCAGAAATTGATAAATTCACGTGGTCCAATTGAAGATCCTTCTCCCGTGGCTTGTGCAAGTAGATCCCTGATTACTGGTCAAACAGATGGATTGTTGTCATATAAAACAACTTCCAACTTGATCAGCTCTTCGAGTTGTTGCTTTTCAGATTGGGATATCGATGCACATTTACTTGGACTGTTAAAGGTATTACTATTTACCATTTTAACGTTATATGCTATTTTGCTAAATTTTTTATTTGCTCAAAGTTGGGATACAACTTCTTAAGCATCACATGCGTGTATCTCTTAAATGCAGTCTTTTGTGCCTTCTCGTCTGTATATATATCTGTAGAAGATAGTATTTTAATGTGAGGGCTGGGGGACTAATTTCTACGATTATTAGTGTTTATCGGGCCAATGCTTATATGCACTCATGATCACTTGATTTTGGATGCAGGAGAGGGGATTTCTTTCATTATCAACTGCGCTGTTGTCATCATCTATACTGCGTGTGGAAAGGGGTCATGCCATGGAGATATTCATGGATGTCACATCATCTATTGAGGCTGTGATTCTATCATTTCTTTTTTGTCGTTCAGGTTGGCCACAGTTAACATATGTACACACACATTGTTTGATTTTTATCAGAAACTAGAAAAAGAAATACAACTATTTGAACCACTTTTCTCCAACCATTGTAGGCTTGATATTCCTATTACAGGATCCCGAACTTTCTAGTACTTTAATCCGTGCCTTTAGGGGTGGTCATCACGGCAACAAGGAGGATAGTATTCCGCTTCGCTATGCTTCCGTTTTGATATCGAAGGGTTTCTTTTGTAATCCAGTGGAGATAGGAACAATAATTGGGATGCATCTAAAAATGGTTAGTGTAGCCCCCAAATATAGTGTCTGAAAAACACTTGTTTCTCTTTCCCTCCTCTTGATGCTGCTGTATCATTTTTTTAAAATTTAATTTTTGAACCTAATGTTTGTATATACCATATTGCGACAATTTTCGCACTTGCTATAGGTTAATGTGATTGATCGTTTGCTTTCATCAAATCCACAATCGGAAGAGTTCTTATGGGTTGTGTGGGAACTGTCTGCTCTCTCAAGGTGGAACATTGCCTTATTTTTATTTCTTTCCGGGATTGAAGGTTAATTATTTGAACATTGTATGAGTTGTGAATTAAACCTGGTGATGATTTATAGGTCTGATTGTGGGCGCCAAGCATTGTTTTCTTTTGGAAACTTTCCAGAGGTATGCTCAAAATTATACTTTGACACACCATAATAATGCGGTGGCACATAGCCTTTTAGATCACTTAATGGATAATATTTTTCAAAATTAATATATTCACGGCGTGATGTTTGATTTTTTTATACAAAAAATTATGAATTTTGTATTTTACCTGGAACTTCGCTCTCTTATTATGTACCTGAACAAAATAGGTGATAATTTTATTTATGATATGCTTAGCAGGGTTATTTTTCCTTGTTTGTGGGGTATGTATGTGTAAGAGCACATGGACGTTTCTTTTATAGATCTAGTACTAAAAGGAGTTTTTGTATATTTGCTTAGGCAGTTTGGTATATGATATATTGAGTTTAATACTTAAGCACTGCAACCCTTTCATTTTCTGTAGGCTGTTTCCATCTTGATTGAAGCATTAAGTTCTACCAAGGAATCTGAATCTGATGGGAAAAACAGCGGTAGTCAAGTCACTCTGTTATTTTATATGCATAACGGTGGCATGATTTCTTGTTTGGTGATCTAACCTGCTAATTCTTATTCTGCTGATTTCAGGATCTTTACCTGTAAATCTTACAATATTTCATTCAGTTGCGGAGATTATTGAAGCTATTGTTACCGATTCCACATCATCATCTTTGGGCTCTTGGATTGGACACGCTACAGAACTTCATAGGGCTCTGCATTTCTCCTCTCCGGGTTCTAACAGAAAAGATGCTCCCTCACGTCTGTTGGAATGGATAGATGCTGGTGTAGTGTATAACAAACATGGGGGTATTGGTCTCCTACGCTATGCTGCTCTATTGGCTTCTGGAGGAGATGCCCAGTTAACTTCAACTAGTGTCCTAGTTTCAGATTTGACTGATGTTGAAAATGTTGTTGGAGAGGCTTCTGGTGGCTCTGATATTAATGTCATGGAGAATCTTGGGAAGTTCACATCTGAGAAGTCTTTTGATGGCGTTACTCTTCGTGATTCTTCTCTGTCACAGTTAACAACAGCATTGAGGATTTTGTCTTTTATTTCTGAGAACCCGGTATGTTCTAGTAAGTTTCAAATTAATTCATTGATAATTATAGATCCTCTCTTATGACAGTTTTAGTCTATGCAGACTGTTGCTGCGTCTCTCTATGATGAAAGCGCCGTTACAGTTATTTATGCCATTTTGGTCAACTGCAGATTTATGCTTGAGAGGTCCTCAAACAATTATGGTAAGTTGGTTATTATACTTGTTATAATACTACGTCACATATATTGCTAGGTTATCACATCAATTATGGAAAGAATTTCCCTTTTCATTCACAATACGTGTATTTTATAAAGGTTTACTAAGGGTATGAATGTCACTAGGGCTTACATTAACAACTAGGCCTCTCTCAATCAGTTACTTCCTTTAGAAATACAATCTTTAGGGGTTCCTGATACGAAACAGACATGTGCTAATAAACCTTATTTGGTTTATTCACGCAAACCCAAAGCTACTGAGCCCAATCAGCCCAGCACTGAAGTCTCCGACAGCTGTCTGCCCAACACTCGAGTCTCTGACAGCTGACGGAAAATTGGAATAGGGGGATAGGAAGTTAGTTACAAGAGAGAGGAAAGGGATGGGCATTTAGTTACAAAAGAGAGGAAAGAGATCTGGGAGTATATAGAGTATTCAGGGAAGGAATGTGATGCATCTTTGGGAATATTCATTGTTTGTTTGGGTCTAGAGAGAGTATTTCTCTGTCTAGGTGGGTGGGGGGTTGTTACCCTTATACTCTTTGTGTAAGTTCACACTCATACATCAAATACAATTTTACTCCCATTCCACTCATTCCTTTAATTTGTTCATATCTTAATTTTGCTGAAATTTCATATTTGAAACTCATCAACTGGTGCCTTTTATGAGAGATTTCTTTTATGCAAACAAACACGGTGGCACAATTATTGGATGCGTTGGAGCCAGAGTTGCTGCTGTTGACTCCATGGTCCATGCTCAGGTGCGCTTACATGACATGACATTGGAGGAACACTCTGCTCATCACCTTTGATGACTTGTGTTTCAGAGATCACCAGTTTCTGCAACTTCTACATGCTGAGTTGCGAGAAGGTTTCCACTGCCAACAAAGTGGTCCCACATGATCCGTTTCCAATTCAAGTGGCGGATCAGGCGGTGTTTCCAGTTCGGTGTTCATGGCCAGTGAAGAATACTGTTAATCTGCGAAACGAGTAGAGCTGCCGTAGTTCGACGAAGACGATCTGGTGGGGTTGCTTGCTAATGCAGAGACGTACTTTGCAGTACATGATAACCCACTGGAGATACAAATCCAGCTTTCTCAGATCTGTATGGAAGGTATGTCAATTGTTTAAATCCTTTTTGATTCTGAGCCACAGCTGTATTGGGAAATCTTCAAGTGAACATAGTTGGATCATTGCGGAGGTCACTGATTGAGAAATCCATTTTGTCAACTCAAGCTTCTCCAGCAAACTGGAACTGTTGATGAATTTGTTTAGTTTGAAATTTTAATAGCTCAGATTCCTCTGGTTACGGATGAGCAGTATATGGGTTTTTCCTGGGAGGTCTGAAGGAGGATATAAATCTCGAGTTGTTGCCATTTGAACCCCAAAATTGTCATAAGTTGATCTCTGTAATAAGGTTAATTGAGCGAAGGCTCCATTGCAATGGGCGGCCGATACAGTCAAATGTGGAAGAATTCAAATCAGCAGCGGAAAACCGTTTCTCTGGTTAACCCAAATCGACTCCAAGGAGAAACAGTCTAAGTGTCAGTCAGCCGAGAGTGATAAGGAACAGAAGGAAGGTCATTCTCAACCAAAAAAGAGGGGTGGGAAGGGGGTGTGAAGAATTTCCCTTTCATGTATTAGTGGAGAGGCGAAACAAGGGGCTTTCTTATAAATGTTGGCAACATTGGAGTCCAACCCATCAATGTCCAGATAAGAATTTGAGGTTTGGAGGGTGATGGACAACTAGACGAAGCTTTGCTGGCAGTTGAAGAAGTGGATGATCAAGAAGAAATTCATGCCAAATGCTTGATTTCAGGCACCTGGATCCGGATATGATGAAAATCTAAACCCTCAAGTTGGAAGGGAGACTTATGAGATACCCAATCCTATTCCTTGTAGATAGCAGGGCTAGCCATAATTTTGTGGCAAGTGAATTGGTGTAGTCTTTGGGATTGGAAGTTATCCAAACTCAAGAGTTTGGTGTTACCTTGGGTAATGTTGATAAGTGTTCACCGTAGGAATTGTTGTAGTCTTTGGGATTGGAAGGTGTTCACCCTAGGTAGTATGCATGGGCCTCAAGGTTAAGGCGGAACAACATACTATAGCAATGGATGCATATGTTTTCAATATAACATAAATTATTTTTTCGGTTATACCCTCTAATAAATACTACTTACTTCACTTCCAATTCATTATCTTTTCACTTTGCATTTATGACAAAGAACCAACATAAAAATACTAAATGTAGCCTAAATTAAGATGTTGTGTTGGCTGTGTGGCAGAAGAGATAAGATTAGAAATGATAATATTAGAGAGTGTGTGATGGGGCAGATAGTGGGATAACCGCTAATTGACTATTTTTGGGCAAATTATATAAATAATAACTATACAACGTAAAACTGAATAAATAACACAATACCCATGAAAGATTCATATAATTAAATATCAAAGCACAAAGCTTTAATCAAATTCAACAACTCTTAATAAAAAACATATATGAATAATAGCTGTTAACTTATTATTACTTAAAAAACAGAGGACAGTGAGAACACAAAAGAAGAAAAAAAAGAAGTTATAAAGAATAACAGAGGAGAGTGAGAACAGAAAAGAAGAAGAATAAAGGAATAAGAAGAAGAACATAGGAATAACCAACCTGAAAACACGAGAGAAAATAAAGCTGTATAGGCAGTGAGAGCTTTGCACGCAGCGGTGGACGCACTGGAAGAGAAGGAATCAAACACCATGGGGTAGAAGCAAACAATAGAAGATTGGCAAAGAGAGTGAGAACAGAAGAAGGTAGCAAAGAGAGAGTTCTGAGGTTAGGGCTATACTGTCTGAGATGACAGACAAGGGCTTAAAAGCGAATTTTTTACAGGGTAAATCAGGTTTTTTCTGGGTTAGAATTGATAGTGGTTTTTAACCTGCTCCGGGCTGGGAAAGGCTCCTGCAACCCGCGAACACCCCAATAGTGCCCGCGACCTGCAAACACCCAATAGCCCCGCGGTCGCAAACTGCAATGTGGTTGGCTTTCAAATAGTGTCCGGCCTCCGCGCCACTCACCTGGGATAGCGCCGCTAATCCCCGGGATTGATAACTGCGTAGTGGTTTGTGAGAAAAGATATTAAGTCTGTCGAAAATTGATTACCCATCAACCACATAATGAACTTCATTAACCACATATATGAACGTCATTAAACACCCAACTTAGTGTTAACAGTAACACACAGTTGGAATACAGAGGCACTCTCGTGTGTCAAAAAAATATTTTTATTTTCTTATTTGTTTACATTTTGTTCTTATGTTTTTTGGACTATCACTCCCATTACTTGTACTCACCTTTTGTTTGTTTTGATACAAGTATTTTTTCGGTATTTTTGAACAGATTACCTTGTAGACGAGGGTACAGAGTGCAACGCTACATCAGACTTACTATTGGAACGCAATAGAGAGCTGAGCATAGTTGATCTCTTGGTTCCTTCTCTTATGCTACTGATTACACTTCTGCAGAAATTACAGGTATTTACTCTAGAGCTTCGTAGTTTTCTTGTGTGTAGCCATTTGTTTCAAACTCGGAAATGTTTTTTATTTAGAATGTGATGTGCATCATACTTATCAAAAGGTCATCGTACAAAATGTGAACAATTTGCTGCAAGCTTGAGGATTGACTATCACATGTTGATAGGTTGTTATGTCTCCAACCCCAAAGCAGTGTAAACTAGTAGCATTCTGAGATTTTCTGTATCCATGTGTATTGGGTTAAATGAGGAAATAAGATATTGTATTATTTGATAGTGGTCCTTCTCTTGATGTGTCATGTAAATATTTTTGTTTTTATAAGCAAATAGATGAGGCTAGTTTACAGTATTATACCTCTGGCTGACTGTAAATGGAGAGCTTAATAAAGGAAACTGTAAATGAAAACTCTTGTGTAATGCATTCTTGATATAGATTATTTGATTGCAATTTATAGGAAGCAAAGGAACAACACCGAAATACAAAATTAATGAATGCTCTTTTAAGAGTACACAGGGAAATAAGGTATCTCTTAGTTTCCTTTCTCTTTGCAATCTGGTTTGAGAATCACACCATCTTCTTTAAGTTGATTAAATCCTGGTCATTGCAGCCCCAAGCTAGCTGCATGTGCTGCAGAGTTATCATCTCCGTATCCTGATTATGCGATAGGCTATGGAGCTGTCTGTCATTTGATTGCGTCTTCCCTTGCCTTTTGGCCAGTATATGGCTGGAGTCCAGGTCTTTATCACACTCTTCTTGCCAGCGTTCAGGGTACTTCATTGTTGACTCTAGGTCCAAAAGAAACATGCAGTTTGCTATATCTTCTGGTATGTTTGTTCCATTTGAACTTCTACTCTGTAAACTGTGTAATTGGTGTCGTTTCTTTAAATATTTCATATCACTTTGTACACATTCCATTCATTGAAACCATGTTATTTTTTAAGACATGTATAATAAGGTTATTTAGCTGTTTATATGAGTGATTTTTGTTCTATACCCGTTTCCTATTGCAAGATTGATTTGTTTCCCGAGGAAGATATATGGCTTTGGATTGGTGGAATGCCTTTGTTAACTACACGAAGGATGTTGGCTGTTGGAACCCTATTAGGGCCTCAGAAGGAGAGGCATGTCAACTGGTATTTGGAATCTGGACCCCTTGGGAAGCTGATTAGCCAATTGGCACCACACCTTGACAAAATTGCGGAGATTGTACAGCACCACGCTATTTCTGTATGTATTTTCTGTCTGTCGTGATCCTACATTTTCTAATATGAAGTAAACATTGTTGGTGAAATACTGAGATTTATGTGAATGCTTGTCAATGTGTTATTCTGATTTTCTGGCAGGCATTAGTAGTCATTCAAGATCTGCTGCGTGTTTTTGTAACTCGCATTGCTTTCCAAAATGTTACTTATGCATCTATGGTTTTACAACCAATATTGTCATCGATCGCTATTCATGTTTCAGAATCATCCCTATCAGATACTGATGCATACAAGGTAAAAATCCTGTGATCCCTATAATTTAGAACTTGTAGTTTATCTAGCTTGACAATTTGTCCTTTATTTTCAGGTTTTGAGGCTTCTTGATTTTCTTGTCAGTCTATTAGAGCACCCACTTGGAAAGGTCATTGAACTTATATATATTTTTTCTGCTGTTATCTTTGTTCTTGTTTCTTATTTTTTTCAGGACTATGAATTGTGTAGTTTTATAATTGGCTGTTGGTTATAAATTATAATAATAATTTTCCGTAGTATAAATCTGGTCTGCATTCTCTATCAGGGCCTATTGCTGAGTCTGGGCACTCTTGAGACACTAACAAAAGTACTGGATAGATCTCTTGTCTTTGTTGATGGAAAGGCAACTCCTGATGGTAGAAGTTATGTAAAGTACAGCTTTAATTTTTTAAGTTGGTGTCTCCCGGTGTTCAAGTTTATCATGCTTCTTTTTAATTCTGAAACTTTTCAGTATTACTCCCGAAGACATGACTCGTGAGTAACTTATTTTATTGTTAGTATTATTAGTTATGTTTCATTCAAGTTTGAACACTAAGTGATGGATTTTCTGTCTCTTTAGCAGTAACTTTTTTGAAAAGATGAGTGATGAAGATTATGCCCTCATTTTACATTATCTTTTGAAGAGTTGCCAGGTGACTCTCTGATCCTGTCCATACAAATTCTTAGATCTGTTTAGATTTTGTGATGTTACTGAAATGCTTTATTCATTTAGATAGCATTCAGGAAAAAGGGATTGCCAAAATTTCTGGCTAAAGACTCTTTGTATAGTTTAATTTGTAGTGCTATTTTTCATTGCTCTCAGTATTAACGAAGAATTTTAATTTTTCAAGGTCCTACCTGTTGGAAAAGAATTACTTGCTTGTCTTATAGCTTTCAAAGAATTAGCTTCATGTAGTAAAGGTCAAATGGCATTTGAAGCAGTTCTTTCTGGAAGCAATGCTCGGGAGCTTCATCAGAAAGATGATATGGATGTGAATTATAATGTTCCTAGTATGGCAGAATGGAAAAAATGCCCTCCTTTACTTAGGTGTTGGATGAAGTTGTTGAGATCAATTGACACAATGGAGGGTTTGTCGCCTTATGCAATTGAAGCTGTCTATGCTTTATCTGTGGGGTCTCTACAGTTTTGCATGAATGGGGACAGGTGATACTTTAATTTCATGATTGGTGTTTCTGATTAACTTCTATGGATGTGCTTAAGCAAGCTTTTGAAAGAAGTTCTTTCATTTTGCATGTTCACTAATATTGAGTTTCAAGAACCTCACTTACTCTTTTAGAATGGAACAACTGAAGTTATTTAACCATTGTTCTCCCTCTTTTTTTATGCTTCCTTGACAGCATTGACATGATAAGTCTGTTATTGTTAATTAAGCTGTTAGTTAATTTAGCTATAAACTGAAAGCTGATCATTTAGCTAAAATGTAAATATTTCTGTTAGTAGCTGATGAAACACCAAATATGAGTATTTGTATTGGATGTTATAGGCATCCTAACTTCTTAGGTGAATCTTCTGGGTTATGCTTGTCTTTAATGTTAAGAGCCTAAAATTAGAGTGTTCTTTGTAAATATTTTAGAAGAAATCTTACTTAAAACTGTATGTAAGAAAATAATTTCCAATTTAAACAGTAACAGAAAACATTAGCTAGAAGTAGTATTCAAGTCCATTGACAAATTTGAATTTAGAACTCAATCATACCTATATAAGTCCTGAGTATAGTCCTTCCATCCATCTTGACAGGCAGTGTATTAATTCTACATTAATAGGCCAGCCAGAGCCACTGCTTTTCAAAAGCATACAAAGGACTATACATATACCATCTAAGTTCACAATTGAAGGCTGAAAAATTTCAGTACTCCCGTAATACAGAATACAAAAGTAACGAGATTAAACCTTATTTGTTCTATGTACATGTAAGACTGTAACTTTCCTTGTTGTGTTAAATAGTGTTCAATTATGAGCGCAAATCTAAAATATGAGCAAAAATCTTAATCGCTTGGTTAGGATATTAATCTGAAATGATTTCAAATTTGCCATTCCCAGCTCCAAATGACACCATAGCTCTCCATCATAAATCATATCCCTGGCCAAGCCATTGACGCGTTTCTTAGTTTCTTCTACATTTTTTCTTGGTTTTCCTCTGCATCTAGTTATTAAGTTTCCCTCTCTCCGATCTACTCCCTTCAATCCAGACTATTGGGTCAGACTCGTTTCTGAGACAAGTCCACAGAAAAATAAGTCAGAACAGGTCAGGTGGTATTTTTGGCGGCGACAGTGGTGACTGACTTGCTGGTCAGACTATCCTTACTAGAAAAAGTCCAACGGTGGTGGAGTTGGCGCCAGAAAGGAGAAGATCTAAGAACAAACGGAAACAGTTGCCAGAGACGATGCATGGAGGAGTGTCTCTGCTTCGGCGACAGCGCCTTCAAGTGGCAGGTTGAAGATGTTTCAATGACTGTTGTGGTTCCGTCTGTGTCAGATGAAACACAGAAGAGAAGGGTACGCCAGAAAAATAGCAGGTCTCTAGAAAAAGAGAAATATTGCATGAAAACAAATAGTGGCACTGGACTGTATTCTGGCTCTAGATACCATGCCAAATTACGGGGTTAAAATACATATTGACCAGTGGGTTTTGGCCTAATATCTAAATATTATAACGATAACCATGTGCAATGGAAATTTTTGTTGACTCTAAAGTGGAGATAGGGACACCCCAAACATACGATTGAGCTAAAACAAAAGGGGACACACTACTCTATTGACTATCGGGAACATGATTATGAGTGTGTTTTCCTAACTAACGTGACTCACAATGTAAAACTGATAATTTGGAAAGACTAGTACCAATTTTTGAAGGGGGAAACTGTGGTACGGCACAATGTTGATGGGTTTGAGAGATTATAAAAGCTATTAGACTCACATTTGGCACATAAAGGACATTCAGGCACATAAAGAACATATGTAACTGGCAGAGAAGGATGGATTTGGATAGTGCCAATACCTTGAGACTGTTTTTTGTAGTGAGAGGAGAAAAACACATCATTATCAGTGATGTGTTGAGTCTCACAAAAGTTTGGAACCTATGGTCTAAGGGAAAGGGAACTATGCAGTCGAAACAACAATTCCTGTTTTCTGACAATACTTTACCCAACAGAGAACTTCTTTGTAAGTGGACGGAGAGGCTTTAGGAGGGTCAATTGTCTGGATAGTGTTAGATTGAGCAATCTGAGGATGATGACAGTACTTAAATTTAGGATAAGACGTGGAATTGGATGTTCGTCCTCGAGAATCAAAACGCGCCATGATCGGTAAACAAAGGTGATAAACTCGCCAAACTTTAGAAATATGGGTTGTTTGAACTAGAGCATGCGTAGCTGCAACTTAAAACTGGAAAATGAGGGCAAATTCTGAACCAGGAGAGGAAGGTGAGTCCGAAGAAGGATGCTTATCCTAGAAAGACCATCACATGCAGGTGGCGTTGCGAACATCGACTGGTGCCTTTTTGATGCCGGATATAGAAGCGTGGCGTGTGAGCACATCCGCCGGAGGTTGGTGGTGTGCCTTTGGCGGTGGGCTGGCTTGGTAGAATTCTTTCTCATCATTTTGGTTTTCTAGTCAGAAAATTCGCCGGAGATGGTGGCGGCAATGGAGGATTTGACGGAATAGTGTTAGTTGTTGGAATGGGTCATGCCAGCAGAGAGGCAAATTAAAGTTGGAACATGGTTTGCCGAAAATATTTCTAACTGGATGACAGTGGCTCTATGGGTAAGCACAATTTATGCTGCCTCTGTACTATGGATACCATGTTGAGAGAAAATGAAACAGGATATGGTAAAACCATGTAGCTCAACTTAACCATGTGGCTCATCTAAACCACGTGTCTCAACTATACCATAGAGATTCCCTTATATCGGTTTGGAAATAAATCAATATACAATTAGCAGCATTAGTTACAATGAAATATGCTAGAATATATATACAAAATATTCCTATGTTTAAATATCAACATTATCATTCCTAATCCTATTTTGTATAGTATTTGAACACATTTAATGCATCACTCTCATCTCTGCTACACTGAGTTTATTCTTGTGATGACATTTTACGGCCAACACTTTGTCCCGTACAACATCATCAGTTTTTTAGCTGCAGCATGCAACTTTCCCTTTAGCGTTATGGGTACTTTTTTATAACATAAATGTCTCATATCATCATCGATTTTTTAGCTGCAGCATGCATCTTTCTCTTTAGCGTTAGGGGCACCTTTTAATGACATAAACACAACCCTCGTCCATCTCAACCACACTGATTGAATCCAGTGTTTTACATCCCCTATTTTTGTCATTTTGTACAATGGAATGAAGATATTGAAAATGTGTGACTTGTGGTATAATATCTAACTTTCACCTCTAAGTTAGAGGTGCTTCATCTTTGCTAAAATTATATTTCAAATACTGTTTTCTTTCTTATAATGAATATGAAGTAACAAGTGACTACAACCATTTTTCAACTGCAGTCATGGTCCATATTTATGTATCTGTGGTGTTTGCGTGTATTTACATATGTATGCTAGAAATGAAGGCCTTAAAAAATAAATATCTGAATTTTAAATTTTTTCTCTTGACATCACAAGTTTCTTTGTTGAAAAGAAGGCAGTGATTTATTTGAAAATTTCTCTGCATTCTCTCCTTATATTATTGGTTCGGGGGCAATCTAGCAGGATTAATTGACAGTTTCTTGGTTAGTTTGATTTCTGACAGAGTTGTTGCATTGAAGTACCTCTTTGGAATTTCTGACGATGTGACAAGATTACTTGACTTTCCTGAAGAAAATATAAACTGCATACTAGATTTGAGTGCTATGTTAAGTTCAAAGGCTACTGTGGATGATTGTTTCGTCACCTCTCACTTGCAAATTCCGTTATACCAGGTAAAATTCAATTTCAATACAGCTTCCTGTTTATTAATTTTTCTCTGAATCATTATTTTAACTTCTCCTGACTGTTTCTGATGCCAGGTTTCTGAGTCAGTGAAATCATTGTACTTAGTATTGCAAAGGCCCGTTGGTTCCATGGAGTTGGGTGATGTTGTTTTACCTCAAAGTGACGTTTTAGTTTTTCCAAAGGCACTTCACATGCTTGAAAACAGTGTTGAAAAGATTGACAATCATCTTGATGTTGGAGGACTTGGTGACAAATTTCTTTGGGAGTGTCCAGAAACATTACCTGATAGATTAACACAAACAAATCTTGCTGCCAAAAAGAAACTGTCAGCAATGGATGGACCAGTGAGACGAGGCCGAGGAGAAAGTTTTCAAGCTGATGTTTCTGCTTTTTCACGTGGCTTAGCACCGTCTACTGTATCCGCTGGTCCTACACGTAGGGATTCCTTCCGACAGCGCAAGCCGAATACCAGCAGACCACCATCTATGCATGTGGATGACTATGTGGCTAGGGAGAGAAATGTTGACGGGGTTACCAATGTAATAGCAGTGCCTCGAACAGGATCTACTGGTGGGAGACCCCCATCAATCCATGTGGATGAATTTATGGCCAGACAAAGGGAACGTCAGAACCCTTCAGCAACAGTAGTGGGAGAAGCTGTGGGACATCTGAAAAATGCTTCTCCTGTGAAAGCTTCAGATGTAGAGAAGTCAAACAAATCTAAACAATTAAAAACGGATCTTGATGATGATCTTCAAGGAATTGATATTGTTTTTGACGGAGAGGAGTCTGACTCTGATGACAAATTGCCATTCCTTCAACTGGATGATAATTTACAGCAGCCTGCCCCAGTTATTGTTGAGCAAAGCTCTCCCCACTCAATTGTTGAAGAGACAGAAAGTGATGCTGTAGATAGTAGTCAGTTTTCTCGCATGGGTACTCCATTAGGATCAAACATTGATGAAAATGTCCAGAGTGAATTTTCTTCAAAGATGTCTGGTTCACGACCTGATATGTCAATCACTCGTGAATCAAGTGTTTCTTCAGACAGGAAATATGGCGAGCAGGGTGATGACACAAAGAATGCTCTTCAAGCTAAGATGTCTGGTGGATACGATTCTGCAACAGCAAATAGTTCGTTCCCGGTGTCTCTCTACAACAATCCATCAACATCTATGCAATTACCAGTGGATTCAAGAATTGCTTCTCAGAATTTATTTTTAAAGAACAGTCCGCAACATGGTGGTATTGCTACAGGTTCTCAAGGACAGTATGACCCGAGATTTTTTCCTAACCAACCTCCTTTACCGCCCATGCCACCCCCACCAACAATTTCACCAGTAATGTCAAATGGTATTGATTCAGTACATAGTCAGTCATCCTCATTCGTTAATTCTCCAGCAGGTGCACGCCGTTCAGTTACATTCCAAGTGAGTAATTTCACTTTGCCTTGTTGCTCTTTAGTTATTCACTTCCTTCTTTCTGGTTACTCTTCAGTCTTTTAAATCAAAATTTTATCCTGCTTGTCTTTCTAAATTCCGTATTGACTACTCATGTAATTTTTCTTGGCAGGGACCATCAGATTATTTATCTCCATTCAACAATGGTTCAACTGCTTCACCATTTCCGTCTTCAGTTCCCATGCCAGATTCCAAATATTCTAGGAATTCTATATCTTCCCCTAGTGGACCTAGTCGATTTGCTCCTCCCCTTCCTCCTACACCTCCTCCTTATGCATCTAGTCCATATAATTTACCATCTATCAAAGCTTCTGTCTCACAACCTGCTCCATATAATCAGGCAAGTATTGGGAATACTGAGCTTTCTCAGGCCTCCATTGCTCCTTCAGGAGCCAGATTGTCATCCCACCCATTAAATCCTCCGATGATATCCTTGGGGTACAATAGGCCAGCTTCTATGCCAAAGCCTATCTTCGGTAACACCTCAAATCAGCAACAGAATGAAAGCCAGTCAAGCTTCATGCAGAGTATGTCTGTCCCCCAAGCTTCCTTCCAGTCAATGCATTCAGTGACACAGTTGCAGCCACTGCAGCCCCCGCAGCTTCCACGCCCTCCACACCCACCTCAGCTTCCGAGGCCACCTGTTCAGGCTTTACTGCAGATGGAACAAGGGATTTCCGTACAGAGCAATGTTCAAGTGCATGAGTTACAGATGATGCAACGTTCTCAGGTTTCTTCAATGCAGACATATTATCAAACCCAGCAGCAACAATTTTCAAATGAGCAGCAAGTTCAACATACTCAACAAACGGGGGAAGCTCAATCGCAGGAGCTTTCAAATGGTGGAATGTCATTACACGAGTATTTTAAGTCTCCAGAGGCCATTCAGGTATTTGCCACTTGCCATGCCACTTTTTAAGGGGGGATTTGTTAGAGACAAATTTGATTGGACCCATTTTTAATCTTATCACCACATCTCTCTGACATTGCAGTCTTTGTTGAGTGATCGCGACAAGCTTTGCCAGCTGTTGGAGCAGCAACCAAAATTAATGCAGATGCTTCAGGTGGTTTTTTCTATTTATTTCACGTAACTTGTGTTTGCTTGTTAGCCAAGGAATCAAAGAAATAGTTCAAATTATTGTCCAATTTCTCTTATTTAGATGATGTCTTAAATTAATGCAGTAATGCTTTAAGAACTCTTAACTATCCTGTAAATCTTTGCCTACTGTTTTTATTTTCTATTTTTCAATTTTAAGCACACAAGTGTATCATTGTTTTCATTTTATTTCCTGTCTACAGGTAACATGTTATATTAAAAAATAGATTAAGTGCAAGTAAATAACATCTGTGAAACCAGAAAATAACAACAATGTTTTCCCAATCAAAAATGCTTTTCATTTCCATTTTCTTAGTTTTCTGCGAATCTGATACACGGACTTAAGTTATTTCTTGTTTTATGCAGGAAAGGTTAGGCCAGATGTAGCTGCAATCTGACCAAGTAGAACCTCAGAAGCATGGCTTTTTGCATAGTCAATACCTGTACATGTCCATTCATTGTCTGCCCATGAGTTGTGGTGATGTTTGTGCATCAGCCACCAAACATCAACCACTAAAATTTTGTGTTAATATGTGTACTTTTTGACTTTGTTTAATTTGTTCCAACACTGTTTCCCATTTTGGGCGACGATGATTACGGCTGGAAAGTGATTGCTGGTGGAGCTAAGAAGGGAGATTGATGTTTTGGTCCAAGTAACTGGTCTAGAACTTTTCTTTGGTAACTGTTGCCATCATTATGCTGCTTGTTGTATTTAGTAATGTACATAACTATTGCTCCTTGAAATTTCATATTGTAACAATCCTTTACATTGTTTTATCTGGCTTTGTAGTTTGTACAGTAATTTTATTTCCACAGTTTTTTAAATATAAAATAATCTAAGAGAGTTGCCAACTTTCGATATATTATGAGAAGGTTGTTGGTTAGACCTTGGTAAGAGGTCCTTGCATTTGGATGTTGAAGCTACTTTACTCATCTTGTGTCTGGTCTCACTCAGGTTAAAACTTTTAACATCCCTTTTTATTTGTTGGTCGAATGCGTGTTTACTTGTTCTTTATGTGTGCTTATGTGTTTTACTGTTTGTGCATGTGTTTTAAGCTCTGAAAGAGTTCGGGAAAATAGAAATGATTTTGCTAGAATGATTAAAGTATATTATTAATTATATTTAACTTTTAAAATATTATAATAACATAGGTTTAATTACCTAAAAATCATCTTTGTTCTTGCAGGATGTTTAAATAAACTTTATTTTCTTTGAAATAAGATTTTTCTATGTTTCACCCTGAGGATGTTTATTCATCCTTAAGTAATTAAATTAGTTCTTTCAATTTCTCTCTGATTTTCTTCTTTGATTTCTTGAAATTCAAGACTCATCTTTCGATTTAAGGATAGGATTAAACTTCAAATTTTTAACTCTTAGATATTAATTAATTAGTGACGTATGTTCTAATATAATTTTTTTAATATTTCTAAATTTTTTAAAACATATATGAGAAATATCTTTAGAATCTTTGTCTCTTGTGTATATCTCCTCTTGTTTGATATTTAGAGAAACTTCTTAGTGGTTTTGCAATTATGAACATAAAATAATTTACTGATGTCTAGAGATATTATAATAAAACTCTGGGTTTTGGAATGGATTCTAAATTTTCTCTTTTCTTCTTTGGTAAATCAAATTTATCTACTAAATTTATCTACTACCTTACTGTTTACTTGGTTAGTAGGAATAAATGAACCATAATTTTTCTTACCGTTCACTTTTAATACTTTGAATAAAAATTCTAAAATAAAATTATAGTGAAAAATAAAATTCAAAAATAAAAGAAAAATGGATAGAGAGGTAACACCAATAGTTATAGAGGCTCTGTAAAAAAATATAATACCTACTTTCTCTTGAGATTTTTTTGAGGGTATTCAATAAATTTAGGAGCTTTTAGCAGGTTGACTCTTGAACACTCTTACATAAAGAAAATAAAGTTTGTGGTTAACTGTCTGCCATACGACGAACAAGAAGAGAAGTTGTGAGGCTTCTTTCGAAACGAAAGATTGAAGCGGTTAGTCTCCTCTTCAAACACTAGTTTGGAGCGTTTAATATTCAAAGAGAATTGGAATTTTACAAGGGCTAATCTCAAATCTGGTGAGTTTTTAATCTGGGTTGGACTCACGAACCTAGTAGATTTTAAAATAGGATTATCTCTAACTTTAGAAATCTTTTAACCAAAATGAGCTTACAAACACAATATAGGTTTTACACATGATAACCACCAACCAATTTGAGATTTTAATACAAGACTAATCTCGAATCAAATGAAAATTTTTCAACAAGTTAAGCCATCAAAACTAAACAACGACTTAGTAACTAAATCTACAAAGCAAAGCTTTTAGAGGGTTTAGTTTCGAACCCAAATAAATAATCTCTAATTGGATAAAATTTTCAACCAAGGTAGAAACAAATGTTCCTTGATGAATTTAAAATACTATCCTTTTAAAATTACATAAATGTTTCACTTGTAAAAGCCCTTTCTCAAAAGTACAACAACTAAATTATTAGACGATAGGCTATGATCTAGAGAGAAGGGGGGGGGGGGGGGGGGGGGGGTGGGGTGGGTTGAATAGATCGCAAATGAAATTCTTATTAAAATTTTGCTTTGAAAAACTTTTAACTATGGTGTGCGACAACAAACTCAAATCGACAATCGTCTATCCGAACTGTTATAAAAAAGATCAAATATGCGTTAAACTGATAGAACGAATACGACGCAAGATGAGAAAACTTAATCAATATATTTTCAACCATGATCGTTTGAATAAAATCACACAATAGTAAACAAAAATTGACATAATTAATTTTTCAAACAATTGGTGTGCAATTGATTGAAAATATATCTTTCTATGATTTTGTTACAATCACATAGATTGTAATTAACTCAACAAAATAATTTGAATTATTAGACAAAGATTAATTTAGCGTATCGATTGCACAATCAACATTTTCATAATTTGTAAGTTAAAATAAAAGAGAAAGACACAAGAATTTATTTAGGCAGTTTCCTAATTGGTCTCGCAATGGGTACGTCTGCCTCTAATTTCAATAGAATTGAGATAATGAAAATTAAACTTTACAATTGTAGTTTACAAGAGAAAAAGTAGCAATCTAACCTTCAAAATTTTATGGTTGATGTTGATCCTAACTCTTCTTTACCCTTGATTTTGAGCTCAATCAAATAACCTGATACTTTCAATTTGATCCTCTGATTACCGTTACTCCTTTAACAGAACCCACGTTCTCCAAAGCCTTCACTCGGCTGAATCCAAATTACAAGCGTATCGTGATCCAAAATTATCAAAGTGATCCTCCGGTTACCATTACTCCTTTGAGAGAAACTCCTATTCTGCAAAACTTTCACTCAGCTGGATCCAAATTGCGCAATCTTGTGAAAAACTCCCAAGATATTGAAAGAAAACCCCAAATGGATTGATGAAAATCTTTGTTTATTTTTGGTTTCACATATGAAAATGATGCATGATTGATATATATATATATATATATATATATATATATATATATATATATATATATATATATATATATATATGAGTGTGTGTGTGCGCGCGTGTGAAAGAATAAAACAGAAAAAATAGGGTTGCAAAATTAAAAAATTGGACATTTTGAACAGTGGGAGTCAACTCATTCGAAGTGACAGTCGACTCATAAGGGCAAAGGAGTCGACCCATACAGCCTGGGAGTCATCTCCAAGTGAATAATTTTTTTTGAGAAATATGCTTTAGTAGGATTCAAGACATGGACACGTGGGAGTCGACTCCTTCGTATTATGTATCGACTCAAATGTCTGAGAGTCGATCCATCCTAGACAAGGATTGAAAATTAAAAATAACATTCAGTGGGAGCCGACCCACAACTCGAGGGATTCGACTCCTTAGTGCTGTGTGTCGAATCTAAAGTCCCCATGTATTGACTCCTTTTTGACAGAGCATTTTCTTTTCAATATGTTTCAGGGAGTCGACTCCAAACATGATTTTTCACAAAAGTACATATTTTTGACATTTTTAACTTGTCCAAATGCTTTTGACTTGTTCTATAAGTGTCATAAGATGAAAATTCAATCTAGACATAGATATATAAGGTTCAATGTATAAATACTACATACTACTTAGTTTTGACATCATTCAAAACATCTAAGAGAGGATATTGCAGTCACACAAATTTCTAAGAAAAAGAAAGTGAGAAATTTTTTTAGAGAGAGAGAAAGTGAGGAGTGAGGTATGATAACGCATGAAAATATGATTCCCCGCATTTGTATTAGTTAGATTCTATGCCTTTTTATGTTATGTAAAAGCCCAGAAATTTACCGTATTTAACCCCAAAGTTAATTGTTTCTTGATTGAGCCTCATGTTGTATCGCCAAACTGTCATAAGTACTCTAAAGAGGGGCTTATTATTTAGTTCTTCTTCTTTGGACTTGACGATCATGCTAACCATATAAGTTTCTAGTGTATCACCTATTTATTCATTGAATATTTGTTCATCATCCTATGATATGTTACCCCATATTCTCCAGGCCAAATCACATTGTATTGATAATTACCTTACTGCGTCATGAAGGCTATTTTCTCTCTGCCCGCCTCATACATGGGTATTTGGTTATAGTTGGAGTACACATCCATGAACGGAATTTGTAAATGGATAAATTATCAACCAACTTGTCTATATTTTGAAGTGGATACAAATCTTTAAGGCACACCCAGTTGAGGTCAGTGTAAACAAGACACATTATCCACTTTCACAAGGCCTTTTTGACTAGTATGATATTTGATATCCATTCAATGTATCTCACTTAAAAAATAAAGTTAGCATTAAACAATCCCTTGACCATGTTCATGGTTTCTTCATCCTTCTCGGGGGACTGCCGCCATCTTCACTAGGCTATATATCATACAAAAGGATCAATATTATACTGATGGCACACTACGTTCAGGCTATGCCTAGAATCTCATCGATAGAAATTTCCAAAAGGCTGACATTGTCTCTAAGACAATTAATAAGTCCCCTTTTCATGTGGCCAAAAGATCAAAACCTATACAGACCGACCGTGCTAGGTTATCATCAAGTTAGATGGTTTCAAACTCATCGTTAGAAATTGGACATAAGGTCTTTATCTTGACTCCTATTGAGATACTAACTTAATCATCTGATATGATTTCATCTTCTTGTACATTAAGAAACCAGTCACAATAATGATCGACTCACTCGAATTGTTGTGATATTTCATCTTAAAATGTACCGTGGAGGCCATTGTTTGTAATGCTTCCAGAAATTACCTTTCTAGGTTGCCGTTGTAAACGCTTTCACAAGGGATGATAAGGAAGTACAATTTCTTAGTCATCATGTTTTTTACTTCTCTGAAAGA